AGCCAGGCCTAATCTCCCAACATCAGTGCCCGACCTCACTAATGCTCATGTGGCTGAATGGAAGCAAGTCCCTGCAGCAATGTTCCAACATCTAGTGGAAAGCCTTCCCAGAAGAGTGGAGGCTGTAATAGTAGCAAAAGGGGGACCAACTCCATATTAATGCCCATGATTATGGAATGAGATGTTCGACGTGCAGGTGTCCACATACTTTTGGTCATGTAATGTACCTCCCTGCACGTTCTCACTGCAAAAAAGCTGCAGATTAGGAGCACCGTGTGGAGGTGTGGGTGTGTATATGTGTATGTGTATGTGTGTCTGTGTCTGTGTGTCCCAATGATGTGTCCTAACTTGCAGTGGGCAACCAAGTTTGCTGTCACTCTGTCTGAATGCATAAGCGTTTCGTCTTTTTTTTTCCTTGCCCCACATGTTAGATATTATGCACATTGATAGCTTGATAGCAAACGTCCAGTAGCAGGCAACAGAAATCTGTAGTGGAGCAGGTCGAGAGTGTCCACATCACTAAGGATCTATCATGGTCCACAGACACCCACACAGTCGTGAAGAGAACGCCTCTTCCACCCCAGGAGGCTGAAAAGATTTGACATGGGCCCTCAGATACTCAAAAGGTTCTACAGCTGCACCATCGAGAGCATCTTGACTGGCTGCATCACCTCTTGGGTATGGCAACTGCTCGGCATCCGACCGCAAGGCGCTACAGAGGGTAGTGCATACGGCCCAGTACATCACTGGGGCCGAGCTCCCTGCCATCCAGGACCTCTATACCAGGTGGTGTCAATAATTGTCTAATAACTTCAGCCACTGAAGTCATAGACTGTTCTCTCTACTACGGCACGGCAAGCGGTACCGAAGCACCAAGTCTGGAACCAACAAGACCCTGAACAGCTTCTAGCCCCAAGCCAGAAGACTGCTAAATAGTTAGTCCGGGTAGCTATGTGGTTAACTATTTAACTATCTGCATTGACCATTTTTGCACTAACTTTTTTTGACTTATCACATACGCTGCTGCTACTGTTTATTATTTATCTACCTCAATTACCTCGTACCCCTGCACATCGACTCGGTATTGGTACCCCTTGTATATAGACAAGTTATCGTTATTCATTGTGCTTATTATTATTATTACTTTTCTATTATTTCTTTCTATTTTCTTTCTCTCTGCATTGTTGGTAAGCCCGTCAGTAAGCGTTTCACTGTTAGTCTACACCTGTTGTTTATGAAGCATGTGACGAATACAATTTGATTTGGAACTGAAAAAGTTCCCCCACAGTGGCAATCGTTTTGAACCCCAAAAGGTTATTTGAGGCTCCTTTTCTTGGTAGAGTAACCTTGCCATGATAACCTTCATGATAGCGTTTTTTCCCTGAGTCTATTTTTAAACGTGTGCGGTACAGCGCTGGGTGCCGGGACGCATCTTACTGCCTAAACTGAGTGAGGCTTGATGGGACAGAAGTGGCGCATAAACACAGTTGTCAACCCAAAGTTCAAGTGATCATCGGTGTCAAAAGTGTTGCGTCTCCCACATATGGGTTCAATGGAAAGTGTTCCTTCTCCACATCCAGACACATGGTAGTCGAGAAGAACCAATCTCTCCCTGTCCACAATGTGGCATCCCACTCCTTCAGATGGCAATTGACGGGAGGCTCGTTCTCTGCTCGAACCAACGGCTTGCATGTGCAGTGTTGCTCTGGATCGTGTGAATAGTGACGTCAGGGTACAATTTGTTGCGCGTCCCCCACACTCCTGCGGGGTCATCACATCGACTGGTCCCGAGGCCTCCGTTTTGAGTGAGGGAATATTCCGTCTCCAGAAACAGGCAATCGGAGTGGTTTCTATGTCGGCTCCAGGACGGCTGGTACAGCCGGTAAATCCTGGTTCCTAAAAGGGGTCGGGACTTTACGCCCCGTTCTAGACCTATGGGTCCTCAGCAAGCACGTAAGAGTCTATGAATTCAGAATGCTCACGAGCCGCCGGCTATTACAGTTGACGGTCTGGGGGAAAGCAGTGTTACACGCATACGTGCTGGTGTCCCATACTCAGTCTCTAGGCTTCATAGGAAACCAGAAAATTAGCTGTCTGACTCCATCTCAGCGCATTCCGTTTCTGGGACTCGAGTTCGACTCACTCTGGCTCTGATTAACCACATTTCAGCTGGGTGTTTTCACCAGTGCCTAGGTCTACTGGGGATGATGGCTTCTGTGATAGAAGCCGTTCGCCTGGGGCTATTGTTGCTGCGGCCTTTCCAGTGCTGAGTGCAAGTTGCTCACCTAGATGCATTTCACAGCCTAAACCGATCGCTTTGGGTGTACCCATAGAGCCTACAGGGTCTGGCCCAGTGGTGGCACCCACTGCTATTGTCAGGGGGCCTCCCATGAGTTGAGTTGTAACACGCAGGGTGATCACAACAGACACATGGCAGCTCAATTCGGGGTGTATGGACAGTGACGCGGAGCACACTGCATATCAATTACCTGACACTCCTAAAATGATGAAATAACACATATGGAATCATTTAGTAACCAAAAAAGTGTTAAAGAAATCAAAATATATTTTATATTTGAGATTCTTCAAATAGCCACCCTTTGCCTTGATGACAGCTTTGCACACTCTTGGCATTCTCTCAACCAGCTTCACCTGGAAAGCTTTTCCAACAGTCTTGAAGTAGTTCCAACGTATGCTGAGCACTTGTTGGCTGCTTTTCCTTCACTCTGCCGTCCGACTCATCCCAAACCATCTCAAATTGGGTTGAGGTCGGGGGATTGTGGAGGCCAGGTCATCTGATGCAGCACTCCACCACTCTCCTTCTTGGTCAAATAGCCCTTACACAGCCTGCTCGTGTTTCTTGGCCTGCGCAGGTCTCTTCTTATTATTGGTGTCCTTTAGTAGTGGATTCTTTGCAGTAATTCGACCATGAAGGCCTGATTCACACAGTCCCCTCTGAACAGATGATGTTGAGATGTGTCTGTGACTTGAACTCTGTGAAGCATTTATTTGGGCTGCAATTTCTGAGGCTGGTAACTCTAATGAACTTATCCTCTGCAGCAGAGGTAACTCTGGGTCTTCCATTCCTGTGGCGGTCCTCATGAGAGCCAGTTTCATCATAGCACTTGAAAAAGTTCTTGAAATGTTCCGTATTGACTGACCTTCATGTCTTAAAGTAATGATGGACTGTCATTTCTATTTGCTTATTTGAGCTGTTCTTGACATAATATGGACTTGGTCTTTTACCAAATAGGGCTATCTTCTGTATACCCCCCTACCTTGTCACAACACAACTGATTGGCTCACACGCATTAAGAAGGAAAGCAATTCCACAAATTAACTTTTAACACACCTGTTAATTCAAATGCATTCCAGGTGACTACCTCCTTGAGAAGGGAAACAAGGTACAACACCTGTTTGGCCCCACACTGCCCCACACGGTTTTAAACGGAATAAATTAATCCGTACCTCACGCTTATCACCTGTGGAAGACGGGGCTTCCAGTGAGGCGCAGATTTCATTGGCCTTGTCAGGCGTGATTTAAGTTCCTTTTATCAAAGCCGCAAGGATGCGACTCCCCATAGTATGTTGAACCTCATTTCCCTCCTTCAGGGAACAGTAGTTCATAGTGTAGCATAGCGTTACATTCTTACCTGCCAGAGAGTATGAAGGAGCGTTCCACACTCTCAATGGTCAGCTCATTCTGATAGGCCTCTTGGCTAGGCTTGCTCACCTGCAATTAAATTAATTGTTAACATAAAAACTATTACAAGATAATATACATTCAGTGGCCAGTTTATTAGCTACACCCATCTAGTACCGGGTCAGACCACCCTTTTCCTCCAGAACAGCCTGAATTCTTCGGGGGAATGAAACGTTGCTCAATTGGTATCAAGGGATCGAACGTGTGCCAGGAAAACATTCCCCACACCATTACACCACCGCAACCAGTCTGTACTGTTGACGCCAGGCAGGATGGGGCCATGCTTACGCCAAATCCTGACTTCAGCATGACGCAACAGGAACCGGGATTCGTTAGACCAGGCGATGTTTTTCCACTCCTCAATTGTCCAGTGTTGGTGATTTCGTGCCTACTGGAGCCACTTCTTCTTGTTTTTAGCTGATAGGAGTGGAACCCGGTGTGGTTGTCTGCTGCAATAGCCCCTCCGTGATAAGGACCGAAGAGTTGTGCGTTCCGAGATGCCGTTCTGCACACCACTGTTGTACTGCGCCATTATTTGCCTGTTTGTGGCCCGCCTGTTAGCTTGCACGATTCTTGGCATTCTCCTTCGACCTCTCATCAACAAGCGGTTTTCGCCCATAGGACTGCTGCTGACTTGATGTTTTTTGTTTGTTGCACCATTCTCAGTAAACCCTTGACACTGTTGTGCGTGAAAAGCCCAGGAGGCCGGCCGTTTCTGAGATATTGGAACCAGTGCCCTGGCATCGACGATTATCATATCACGTTCAAAGTCGATTAGGTCACTCATTTTGCCCATTCTAACGTTCAATCGAACAGTAAATGAAGGGCTATCTGCCTGCTTTATATAGCAAGCCACGGCCACGTGACTCACTGTCTGTAGGAGCGAACCATCTTCGTTAACGGGGTGGTGTACCTAATAAACCGGCCACTGAGTAGTTTTGTGGTGGAAGAACATATAAAACTATGATTGAATGTGAGGTTAAAAAATGACACAGGTGCAATAGGGTGCCATTTAAGACACAATCAGGAGTTCCTACCTTCATCCCAGCCGGTGAGAGCATGTTGTTGAGTTTGAACTGTCCAGACTGATCAGGGGTGGTGTACAGCAATGTGTCGTTGAACTAGATAAAAATACAATCATTTTGTTCACTCGAGTTGCTCATCAAGACACTCCATTACTCAAGAACAAACCTGTGCAGGCAGAAAGGAGGCACAACTAGGTTGACTAGGTTGACAAAACGGAAGAAAATGATCAAAGGGGCACTATCTGAACGTGTCAAATTAAGACAGGCTCATTTCATTTCCTACTCACCAGGAAGAACATTCTGGGCTGCATGACCTTCCTAGAGAGGTTCATCAGAACACCCTCTTTCAGGAACACCCTCCCAGGCAAGACGAGTTCATGGTGACCATTCAGACGGCACTGAACCTGGATCAGTTTCTGGAAGTTATCCTAAAGGAGAGAAAGATTATTATCTAAAATTCAAGCAAGACTCTTAAAGCTACGGATCTTAGAGATGGGTAAATATATATATTCTTCTCACCCCCTGTTTCATGATGTCATTGGCATGGTTCGCTACCTCCTTCACTATGCCAAGGGCTGCTGTGGGTGGATATAGAGATACAGAATTAGGCTACTATTTCTGTAAAATCTGAGGAGTATTTCTATCTGTAATAAAGCCCTTTTGTGGGGGAAAAACTCATTCTGATTGGCTGGGCCCGGCTCCCGAGTGGGTGGGCCTGGCTCCCAAGTGGGTGGGCTTATGCCCTCCCAGGCCCACTCATGGTAGTACCCCTGTCCTGTGAAATCCATAGACTAGGGCCTAATGAATCTATTTCAATTGACTGATTTCCTTCTATGAACTGTAACTCAGTAAAATCTTGGAAATTGTTGCGTTTATATTTTTGTTCAGCAATATATATATATATATATATATATATATATATATATATATATATATATATATATATATACATACATATACACACACACACACACACACACACACATACATACAGTTGAAGTCGGAAGTTTACATACACTTAGGTTGGAGTCATTAAAAGTCGTTTTTCAACCACTCCATAAATATCTTGTTAACAAACTATAGTTTTGGCAAGTCGGTTAGGACATCTACTTTGTGCATGACACAAGTCATTTTTCCAACAATTGTTTACAGACAGATTATTTCACTTCTAATTCACTGTATCACAATTCCAGTGGGTCAGAAGTTTACATACAATAAGTTGACTGTGCCTTTAAACAGCTTGGAAAATTCCAGAAAATGATGTCATGGCTTTAGAAGCTTCTGATAGGCTAATTGACATTATTTGAGTCAATTGGAGGTGTACCTGTTGATGTATTTCAAGGCCTACCTTCAAACTCAGTAATGCAGAAAATAGTCAAAATAAAGAAAAACCCTTGAATGAGTGGGTGTGTCCACACCTTTGACTGGTACTGTACATACACATACAATGAGGGTGGAATAAAAATACTGTGAAATTGTGAAAATGCTGATAATGCCCTTTTAGTGTAAGAGCTGTTTGAAAAGACCGCCTGAAATTTCAGCCTATTTTGGTGGGATGTAGTTTTGGCCTTCCATAGTGACATTCCCATGCAGTAAATTAGTAAATACACCAATAAGAAAGAGAGTTTCAAACATATCTGCCAATAACAGCTAATTTTCAGTTTTACCCTCCCACTCAGACCATTCCCAGACAGTCCTAGCAAAACTTTTGCTAAGAAGTTTATTTTTGTCAATTTTAATTGAAAACAATCACAGTAAGGTACTTAATTGTTAAACAGAAATGATTTGATATTGAGTTAAAATCGGCTGCATTGTACCTTTAAAGCAAGTTTTCTGCAATTCCACACATTTTGCAATGGGACAGAGAGAAAAGAAAATCCAGTTTTACAGCTAATTTGCTGCAATTCTATTCATTTTGTAAGGACTTATGCCATGTTATTATGATATGAGTGAAAATGATTAACAAAATCAATGAGGGCCTCCTGGAGTTCAGGGCCCTGGGCACGTGCCCTATGTGCCCGGTCGGTATTCAGTCATGATTACTACAAGTTTAGATAGCTGGCTAGACTAACTACCAATCTAAAAATTGTTAGCTGACATGGCTAATTGAGTGGCTGTCAGTGACTGACATAAGAGAAAAACTGCTGAAGTACAACCAAATTTCGAAATTGCGTATTCTTACTCTCAATAGTAAGTTGAGACCCCGACTGAGTTCCTATTTTTTTTAAATAATACAATTGGGTCGGGGGCCCCCTAGCGGTCGGTGGCCCTAAGCAGCTGCTTATGTCACTTATGCCTGGAACCGGCTCTTCCATTTGCTCTACTAAGAGGTACATGTAAAATAAATGCATCTAGAATGATGCAGGGATATCCTTGACCATGAAACCAAGTGCTTCGCTATACCTTGCGTGTCTTTGTAATCTGCTGAGTCTGGAGACAGGTTCTTCAGCTAGTCTGAAATTACACACCATTTTAGAGAACAGGGAACATGCTCAACCCAATGATATAATACAAGGAACAGACAATTGGCAGTACAATAGGTCAATACAAGTGTCTTGTATTGTGTAGTAAATTCCTGGAATAATCTAACAATCAAATATCCTAGTATACAACATCCAAAATGTGCTTGTGTAGTGGAATTATACAAGAGTGATATGGCGAGAGACATTCTTCACATTTTGGCACTGTTCAGAGCTGTGCGTCCTTTAGTCCAATAAGCTCATGGGATGATAAGCCCTCACTCATGCTAAAGCTTGTTTTGCCACCAAATCAGATTTTGACCGCACTTCAAAATCTTATTTTGACTGGCTTGAATAGGTGAAGAATTCTGTTTGCAGTGCACTTATTGTACCAGTAGATGGCAGTGTACGACAAATTCAACACTTGGCCGTGTGAATGTGTTGAGTTGTTTACTGTTTTTTGCGGTTATTTTGGGTGTTATTGTGCAATGATCTGTCAAAGTGTTATTACATTTCTCTATGTGTTTTTGAAGACATTTTCCATTGAGTATGCCTTTTAGTCCAGAGGGGTATACACTACCAAGCAGTATCAACGAATTAGCCAGCTAAATTGCCTAAATATTCTGAAATGCCTTTATTTAATTTTTTTATAGATAAGCTTGAAATGGGCATGGTCTGATTGACTCACGAACCAAAAACACATAAGTTTAGCATTCTTAATAAACAAGAAAATCAATAGTTATTTCCGGTTATTTATCCAAGTTAGCTGGCTAACTCATTAACCACGTTTCTATCCACAGTTTTTATGCGAGTAGTCATATCGTATATAGAAAAATCACGACAGCTATGATAGAAACAGGAAGTTTGGGTGTAATTTTATAAATGCCGACAGATAATTTGTTCGTTTGACATGGTGGGATCTTTTTGTGTCTGTAAAATGTATTATGTGGGAAATGGCGGTGGAAATGCCTATGCGCAAATATTGACATAATAACCATCATATCAAATTAAATTTGGAGTCACGCGATGATATGGTGTGTGGTCCTCCCACTACGACTCTGGAAACCATGCAGTTTATTAGGCTACAGATGAAATAAGTTATGATGAACTTCACAGGGGGATGAAAGTGCACGGTGATGATTTTAATGCTGCTTTCCAATAAATATCAAGGTACTTATTCTGGTGACATAATGATCGATGCTTGACTGCCGTTTGACAAATACAAATATTCTCGCTCTTATCCATAATAATCTGATCATGTAGACTAGACAACCTGCACAGCCTACCCGCACTGTATCTGTGAACTGTTGCCTAGAGCGCAGGTGCCAAGACCAGAGTAGGCACATTTGCTATTTAACGCAACAATTTTTGTGACAGAACTGTCGGTAGAGTTGAAAATGTGATGGAAACACAAATCACTTTTTTTTGTGCACTACATCATCACGCACTGATTTTTATCCGCAACAAGTCCATTTGGTGGAAACATACCACTGGTGGGAAAATGCACATATTTTCTTTATGCGGATTCTAGGGGGGGGGGGGGGGGTCTGATCCTAGATTAGCAATCCTATGAGAAAAGTTTAGAATAATAGCCCGGATCATAGAAATAGACTCATTCTATAATTCTAATTGTATAATTCTAATTCTATGGTTCTAATTCTAATTAGAAGGGATGGACGGGTGGACGGGTCAATGGGAGAGACAGAGAGAGACACAGGACACACAACACACAGACGGACACACAATGTCTTTGTATAGCTTTCTTTTTTTTTTCACAGTAAAAAGTGTTAGGCTGCAAGCACACCACACCAAATGTTCCAAGTTTGGAACATTTCAATGCACTTAGATCTGAGCCATAAGAATGAGCCATCCTCAACCTCTGACCTCTATACCAAACGGTCCTACATTAAAAGCCCCCCCCCCTCCCCCTACACACACACCCAGAGTGGAGCAGGAGAGGAGGGGAGTAAGAGGGGATGAGAGGAGGAAAGCCTTGGGGCTCTCAGGGAAAGCTGTTTCTGCTTCTCTTTCTGATGATGGTGGTGGAGGTGTTTGATGCTTTTTTGTGGTTTATGGGACAACTCGGACAGCACAGCAACTGCTTACAGGGCAGAGCACAACACATACAGTACCAGATAGGCTCTAAGGGGCCAAGGCCCTGTAGCAGGGATCTCCTGTGGTTTACATCTGTTCACAGTCATACTGCACTGCTCAGCTGACAGAAGAGAGGGGGGGACCAGGGTTCAAATTACTGGGGGTGGGGGGACGCCCCATAACAAATCAGCGCCCCCACGTTCATGAAATATCAATGTGTCAGTGGAGCACCATACATTTAAGTTAAAAGGACTGATAGATACTGAAAGGGAAACCAACAGAAATGTAAACCATGCGGATGAGAGGAACTAGGAAAGTAGTGTACGGTCCAGAAACCCAATGTAAGTCCCTCAGGTGGACTGTGCCCCAGTGGTTAGCATAATCAACACACACATGGAGGAGTCTCACTTACAGTACATACTGGAGTTCTCACTAGATATTTCATAATATGTACAGTAAAACACAAGCCACAGTTCTGTAGAGTATGATACGTCTTTCAACGTGTTGTTTTTTGTTTCAAATGTAGCACAAAGATGGCAAAATACTTACAATATGGAGAAGCTTCAGGACATTGACAAATACATTCTCGGAGCTCATGATCTCCCTGGCAATGTGAACTATCTTGCTCTCCTTGGCACCACTGTCAGCCTAGTACAAACACAGGTACACACTAAGTCAATCACTACATTTTCACCAAGATTGTGGGTTCCATTCTCGCAGGGATCATATACTAGATATGCACTCACTGTACTGAAAGTAACTTTACATCAAATCATCTGCTAAGTGGCATATTTTCTATCTATTTTCTAGCAGCTCACCCCCCTCTCCCCATGCTGCTCAGGTTCTCCTTTGCTGGAGGAGGAACTGTCATCGTCCTCATCCAAGCTGTGAACCATGATGTCCTCATCCTCATTAGACTGTCCATCATCCATCTGGCCAACATCCTCATCTATAGAGCTCCTGTTGGGAGGACAGTAGATTAGTCAGTAATGCACATACGCAAACACACACTAAACACACACCTGATATACTCAGGTAACTCCTCGTAATAAGGCACATTCTCATACTCCACCTCTGGAGCCTGCGCCGCTCCGGGGTAATGGAACTCGTCCACGCTCTGCTCCACCCCCACCTCAATCACCCCAAGCTGGGGACAGGAGAACCTGCGAGCGCCCGATACGTCCAGGTGATCCTGAAAACACATATCTTGGCCACCCCCATCCACACACTGCTCAGCCTCTGCGTCAGCTGCAGTGCAGTCTACAGACTGGCCTCCATTGTCTAGCAGCTCGGGCAGCATCTTGACAGAGAGCTTCAGCTCCAGGAGCCTCCGGAAGGAATTCCATTTCTGTCCCTCGGAGCGGGTGAAGTCGGCAGAGGAGAAGGACTTGGCTCTCTGTTTCCCCAGGGTGGAGCGAGGCAGCTTGGACAGCGTCAGTGTTTCACCAATGCTGTTCTTACGAGAGACAGGTGATACCAGCGTCTGAAGGATGCTCCTTCCTGGTCCTGGTCGCTCCCCTGGGGTTGCAGGGAGTGCTCTCATAGCTTTCACATTTAGAGCCCTGCCATCTTGACCGCCCTTAGCGAGTACACATCCATCATCATCACTATCTGAGGTCTTTCCTCTCTCCCCTTTTCCCTCTTCTGATAGTTCCTTCTCCAGTACCAATGCTGCCGGCGAGCTGTGTCTCTGTGGTTTCTTGGGGACGGCGGACATCTTGCTTTGAGCCACCCCATCTTCCTTGGAACTCCAGCTGGTTGCCACGGTGAGAGGCAAGTGGCAGTTGGAGTTGAGCTCCAGCTGGTTGGGCACACCGGTCGAGTAAGGATGACAGGTAATCACACCATGGATCACCTCCTTGTCTACTGAACACTCCATTTCATAGACACAGTCATCCACCCATCCCTTATTCTCCTCCGCTACATCCTGAGGGAGGTGCGGATGGGAAGAGGTGGCAGAGGTCTGTGCTCCCTTCTCAGGTTCAGACAGAAAGGCTTTCTTTCTGGAAGAGGGAGCAGGTGCAGGTGGAGGGCAGGGTGTCCTGGACGATGAAAGACCCTGCCAGCTTTCACTGGTGCTGACAGGAATGTTGTGTGCGTGAGCAGTAGGTGCGTTGACAGACAGAGACGGGCTGCTCTTCCTCTCCAGTGACCCTTCACCTTTCTGACTATTGTCTCTCTCCCTTCCCTCCCCTCCTCTGGGTCTTCCTGTCCAACCAGGGCAGACTTCCTGGGTTTCCATGGTACAGGGAGGGGGAGAGGCTTCCTATGGACAGCTGGGTTTTGATTGGGCTTGCCAGAGTCTCTATCAATAGAACAACAGGAGGTGATGGTGTCACCACCACCGTTGGCTTTATTGCTCTGGGTGCTCTCCTGAGGAAGAGGGCACTTTATGTCGGGGTGTGATGACGTCCCAATGTCTGAGTTGACGTTCTGATTTGTGTTTAAGAGGTGGTTATTGGTGGACAGCAACACAGCCTGTACACAAACGTCTGGTAAAGTGTTGTTAACTGCTTGGCTCTTGTTGTGGTCTCCTTTGTTCTCTCGAGATTGAGATCTGGGAACAAGCTTTATTCTGGATTTCTCCATTTTGCCTTTGTTATGCAACGTTTCCAAGTCTTTTTCAATTTTGTCAATCACTACATCTGGCATGTTACCGTTCCCCACACACAAACAGTTATTCTGGCTACACAGACAAATATGAATAATATATCATCCCAATCTGGTTTCTTGTTCTGTTGCTGCTGTATTCCATTTCTGCAGTTCAGAAGATCTATACTTCTATATATATATAATCCCAAATGTATTATTGTTTAAGTCAATAGGCGACTATAATAAGGTTTGTGTAATATCTATTCTCTACACAGGTAAATTAAGCTTGCTTTTCAAATGCTCGGCCTAACCCAATCGAAATAAATTAATATTTCTCATCAACTACAGCCTGTCAATTCACCTGCGCTCATTATGATGATTAATGCCGCACACTCCTCCGGCTGGCTTCTCAAACATTTTCTTCCAAGGGAAACCGCCGGCTTACTTCCTTCTGATATTTGTCAAGACTCAAGTGTGTTGTCAAAACTTTGTAAGTAATCTTGCGATCCACCCTTTAAAGATTTTGTAACGTTTCTTCTTCTGATCCTGAACAGGCAACAGTTGCGCTGCACTGATCCGCTCCGATGTTATCAACTCTGCCTGTGAAATCCACGCTGTGACCGCCGATGAACAAATTTGCTCATTGCTGGTCATTCGCAACATGTCCACTAGGGGGCTCACAACTCCACAAATATTTTTTTTGTTTTTTCACCTTTATTTAACCAGGTAAGCCAGTTGAGTACAAGTTCTCATTTACAACTGCGACCTGGCCAAGATAAAGCAAAGCAGTGCGATAAAAACAACAACACAGAGTTACATATGGGGTAAAACAAAACATAAAGTCAAAAATACAACAGAAAATATATATACAGTGTGTGCAAATGTAGCAAGTTATGGAGGCAAGGCAATAAATAGGCCATAGTGCAAAATAATTACAATTAGTATTAACACTGGAATGATAGAGATGAAAGAGATGATGTGCAAATAGAGATACTGGGGTGCAAATGAGCAAAATAAATAACAATATGTGGATGAGGTAGTTGGGTGGGCTAATTTCAGATGGGCTGTGTACAGGTGCAGTGATCGGTAAGGTGCTCTGACAACTGATGCTTAAAGTTAGTGAGGGAGATAAGAGTCTCCAGCTTCAGAGATTTTTGCAATTCGTTCCAGTCATTGGCAGCAGAGAACTGGAAGGAATGGCGGCCAAAGGAGGTGTTGGCTTTGGGGATGGCCAGTGAGATATACCTGCTGGAGCGCATACTACGGGTGGGTGTTGCTATGGTGACCAATGAGCTAAGGTAAGGTGGGGATTTGCCTAGCAGTGATTTATAGATGGCCTGGAGCTAGTGGGTTTGGCGATGAATATGTAGTGAGGACCAGCCAACAAGACCGTACAGGTCACAGTGGTGGGTAGTATATGGGGCTTTGGTGACAAAACGGATGGCACTCTGATAGACTACATCCAATTTGCTGAGTAGAGTGTTGGAGGCTATTTTGTAAATGACATCGCCGAAGTCAAGGATTGGTAGGATAGTCAGTTTTACGAGGGCATGTTTGGCAGCATGAGTGAAGGAGGCTTTGTTGCGAAATAGGAAGCTGATTCTAGATTTAACTTTGGATTGGAGATGCTTAATGTGAGTCTGGAAGGAGAGTTTACAGTCTAACCAGACACCTAGGTATTTGTAATTGTCCACATACTCTAGGTCAGACCCATCGAGAGTAGTGATTCTAGTCGGGTGGGCGGTGCCAGCAGCGTTCGATTAAATAGCATGCATTTAGTTTTACTAGTGTTTAAGAGCAGTTGGAGGCTACAGAAGGAGTGTTGTATGGCATTGAAGCTCGTTTGGAGGTTTGTTAACGCAGTGTCCAATGAAGGGCCAGATGTATACAAAATGGTGTCGTCTGCGTGGAGATGGATCTGAGAGTCACCAGCAGCAAGAGCTGGTTGCAGCGGAGGGTGCAGAGCTGGTGGCCGGGGTAGTGGTAGCCAGGTGGAAAGCATGGCCAGCCGTAGTGAAATGCTTGTTGAAATTCTCGATTATTGTAGATTTATCGGTGGTGATAGTGTTTCCTAGCCACAGTGCAGTGGGCAGCTGGGAGGAGGTGCTCTTATTTTCCATGGACTTTACAGTGTCCCAAAACTTTTTGTAGTTAGTGCTACAGGATGCACATTTCTGTTTGAAAAAGCTAGCCTTTGCTTTCCTAACTGCTTGTGTATATTGGTTCCTAACTTCCCTGAAAAGTTGCATATCGCGGGGGCTATTCGATGCTAATGCAGTATGCCACAGGATGTTTTTGTGCTGGTCAAGGGCAGTCAAGTATGAGGAGAAGCAGGGGCTATATCTGTTCTTAGTTCTGTATTTTTTGAATGGGGCATGTTTATTTAAGATTGAGAGGAAATTACTTTTAAAGAACAACCAGGCATCCTCTACTGACTGGTTCGAATCCAGGCTCTGTCGTTGCTGGCCGCGACCGGGAGACCCAGCGTCGTCCAGGGAAGGGGAGGGAATGGCCGGCAGGGATGAAGCTCAGTTGGTAGAGCATGGCGTTTGCAACGCCAGGGTTGTGGGTTCGCTTCCCACGGGGGGCCAGTATGAAAAATAAAAAAATAATGTATGCACTCACTAACTGTAAGTCGCTCTGGATAAGAGCGTCTGCTAAATGACATTTTTATGGACATTCATTATTGATATGGTCAGAGAGTTGCTGTGGTTGCCTTACTGATTTACATGTTTTTATTTTTTATTTTTTATTTTTTTGTATGCAATGGCTGTCAGTGTTTACATTTCCAATCGGATGTCTGTAAAGCCTATTGTATGTATCAATGCCAGTATTTATTTATATGTTTAATAAAAAATGGTTCACAAAAAAATTGCCTGTGGTCAATATGGTAATAATAGGACTGCATATTTGTTTGCTGAATATTTTATGTACCATCACATATTGTGTGCTAAAATTGAATGTAATACTCCGTCATCAGTGCTAATAACAGCAACTAAGCAACTGAGTTTTGTGAAAAATGAATATGTTGGAGTTCAGTTTGCAAGTTAAGAGATTTGTGTGAGGAAGTAGGTAAGGAACTAAAGTCTTCAATCATATCATCAGAATCTTTATCACTGTGAACATTCCACAGAATAGGCTATTCTAAACCATTATTGCCCAACACAATTATTGTAATTGCACTACATTGTCACTATATCAGTCAGTGAGTCACTCAGTGAGGAAGTATCTGTCTCCATCCCTCTCTCTGTCTCTCTCTCTCATCACTTGTTACTACACTGTCAGTGCCTATGGTCACTATATCAGTCCCAAAGGGGATTCGATTAAAGGCCCAGTGCAGTCAAAAACGTGACTTTCTTGTGTTTATATATATTTCCACACTATGAGGTTTAAATAATACTGTGAAATTGTGATAATGATGATAATGCCCTTTTAGTAAAATTTCAGCCTGTTGAGTGGGATGGAGTTTTGGCCTGGGTAAATTAGTTAATAGACCAATAAGAAAGAGTTCCAAGCCTCTCTGCCAGTAACAGCTAGCTTTCAGTTTTCCCCTCCCCACTAGCAAAATTCTTGCTTGAGAAATTGCTCTTTGCTAACAACTATTTGTGTTTATTTTTGACCATTTTAATTGAGAAGAAAATGACAGTAAGGTACTTAACTATTACCCAGAAATGTCGTTTTGGAACCTGACTGCCTCCCGGGCGTGAGCCAGGTGCCCGGTTTTGGCCGACAGCAAAGTCGGCTCAAAACAAAAGTGAGGTAGGTTAAGCACATCGAGTAATGAGTATAATTCATTATTTTTACATGCAGAAGTCTTTGCTTTTGACAAAATGGCTTTATCTGCCTTCCCACTGAAAACTAGTTTGAAAATGTTAACCTATATTTTATGGAAAAGAGATTGACAACATGACTGAGCTGTGCAGATTACTGTTCAATTTGAGAAGGCCATGAAGGCCTGATTCACGCAGTCTCTTCTGAACAGTTGACGTTGAGATGTCGTGGTTGGCTAATCAGCCCTGAGCTAGCCTTGAGCCAGGCCCATCTCCCGGCTATCTACCTCTCTGTCAACCGGACGGGACCTCCTAGTCTTGACACGGAGCCCCGCCGATCCAACACGACTGGTCTGCCGATTAAATGGTCTGATGTGGTTACAACAGGCTTCCCGTTACGATGTCAACCACGAAGATCCATCTGCTAGCCCCGGCCCGCTAGCACACGCTAGCCATGGCCTCTTGCTCGCTAGTGCTTTAGCAACCCCCAAACTACCTCCGAAATTATCCTATTGCTGCTCACCGGACCTTATGATAACTCAGCTATACAGCTGATGCCTGCTGGACTGTTCCTTTTTACGGTACCGCATCCTGTTTATGTTTAGCCTCAGCCCAAACTTTGTCGCCATTACCAGCTGTTGTCTTAGCTCTCTTGAATAACACCTGTGATTGCTTTATGCCTCTCTCCCATGTCAATATGCCTTGCTTATTGCTGTTTCGGTTATTTCTTATTGTAATATTTCACTGTAGATCCCCCAGCCCAGCTAAACCTGCCTTCGATAGCTCCTTTGTCCCACCCCCCATACATGCGGAGACCGATTAAATCGGTGCCTCCAGTAATGCTATCTCTTTCATCGTTACCCAACGCTTAGGTTTACCTCCACTGTACTCATATCCTTCCGTATCCTTTTCTGTACATAATGCCCTGAATCTTTTCTACAACGCCCGGAAACCGGCCCCTCTTTTTCTCTGTACCCAACGCACTAGAAGACCAGTACTTAAAGCCTTTAGCCGTATCCTTATTCTACTCCTCCTCTGTTCCTCTGATGATGTAGAGGTTAACCCAGGCCCTGTAGCCCCCAGTATCACTTCTACTCCCCAGGCGTTATCATTTGTTGACTTCTGTAATCGTAAAAGCCTTGGTTTCTTGCACGTTAATATCAGAAGCCTCTTTCTTAAGTTTGAGTTATTCACTGCGTTAGCACACTCCGCCAACCCTGATGTTCT